TTTTTCTGTTGCTGAAATTATATTACCTGTTTTTATTGCCCTTAGTCTATAATCCCACATGGCTAAAAAGCAGAGGGCCTTTGCCGACTGCTAGAAACAGTGCAAATTGAGTCCACTTTAACTGCCCTGGCTCAGTGCTAGGGAATCATGGGAACTGTATTTTTTTCTGAGACATTGAGCAGGGGTAGGCAACCTTTCCCCTTTAAGGGCCGAGGGACTTCAGCTCCCAGAATCCCAGGAGCTATTGGCCAACATGGGACTATTGGCCAACATGGCTGAGGCTTCTGGGAGCTGAAGTCCCTTGGCCCTTAAAGGGGAAAGGTTGCCTACCCCTGCTCAATGTCTCAGAAAAAAATACAATTCCCATGATTCCCTAGCACTGAGCCAGGGCAGTTAAAGTGGACTCAATTTGCACTATTTCTGGCAGTCTGCAAAGGCCCTCCAGAGTGCATTGAGATCCCTCCAGATCTGTCTTAACTGACGACAGAAGTAATAACTATGGATCTAACATCATTACTTTTCTTCTCCTGTATGACAAAAGTATCACTCTTTGGTGGATTTTGTTGTAAGAAGCACTCATGAACAAATGGGCAGAACACTGTTGGCTGCCTCCTGGTCTGTTTGACTGGAAAAGTGATGAGAGACACTTTTATATTCAAAATACAATTAATAGTCTCAGAATTGTTCATGAAAATAATTGATGTGCAACTAGACAAAACTGGAGTAGCAACTTTTACAGAACAGCAGGATGGGTGTGCATTTTCTATCAACATTACATACTGGAAATCCAGCCATGTAACATGACAACATGAATGTTGGCAAAGGATGTTAAACCAGGCTTGAAAAAATTAAATCTTATATTCAGTGTTTCATGTTGAGAATCAGGCTCTCATTTTAGGGAGTCACCAAAACAAAAAACAATTAAAGTTAAGTGTGGCTAGTTTTATAAAAGGCACTACATAGATTTATTTTTAAGGCTCCTCGAGAGAACTGTAAAGAAAATTTAGGTTTTCTGTAACACTAAAACTGCTCTCTTATATGTTCAAAGTTTGTCCATATCTAATCTAGAGATCACCCATATTTTAGAGCCCCATCTCCATGGACAACAATCCCAGCTAAACAGAACCACCACCACACCAAAACAAACAAAAACCACTCATCAAAAAACACCAAACAGAGACATATAGGCTGTATCCATACCCCAAAGTTATATCACTGTGATTCCACTTTTATAGCTTTAGAATCACATAATATAATTGGGAAGGGACTGAGAAGAGCTCTTAGGCAGAGAATTCTAAGCAACTCATGAAACCATAAATCCTAATTTTCTACAAGATGGAGCCAGAATGGTTAAAGTGGTAAACCAATAGTTGTTAACCTTTTATTTACCAGGGACCCCCTTTAAATATCTTGCATTGCCAGACTCCCAACACCTACTGTATATATTTAACTATAAATTTAGACTGCTAGCAGGCTTGGCATCTTTTCTTCCCTTCTCTCAGTCATTCATGATGCTTCTGAGACTGTGGGCCAATACCTGAGATACAGTGGACCCTGTGTATTGGTGTACAAGAGACCAGTGCACATGGAAATCAATGTGCTCCCTGGAAGTGGAAGAGGATCACAAAGCAGTGTCCCAAAAGAGATTTGTGGATATGGAAGTCAATAATTCTGTTCCTCAGAAGCCATGCTACGCCACTAGTCCCCCACCCTTAGCAAACCAGTTCCCCTGCCCTCCACAGAGTCCTTTCAGGAAACTCTTTCTTCTCCCTAGCAGACCTCCAACACTTGCTGCCTCTCCAAGCACAACAGGGACCCTCCACATCCTCAGAAATTTTCTCCCTTCCTCAAAGGGAGAAAGCAGAAGCAGTGGCAGGGGGGTGGCCTGAAAGGACCTGCAAAGAAGGAGGAAGGGGAGTTCTCCTTCTTGCCCCATGGCCTTTGAGAGACCCCTGCCTCACCACACACACCATCATCCACTCACCTACTGACCCTTAACCACAAGCATCCACCCCACTGACATGCTTCTCAGCCAGAGCCAGCAACCCAATACATGTCCATGTACCCAACTGCTGGTCCCTTCCATCGAACCCATCAAGTAGATGTGACCTGCCTGGCACTCCTCTACCCAGGCCCCAAAGCAGGGCACCCCCCTCCGTCCCACCTAAACTACGAGAACTCCCTTGCCCATCTGCTTCCTTCCTTTCCCTGCTCTCCTCACAATCACATTCACATATAAAAACTACCCGCTCCACCTTCTCCATTCCAGATGGAGGTCCCATCTCAGAGTAGCCACTGGCTGCCACAGCCCTGAAGGTGGGCATTGTTCCACTGCCTGTAAATCCAGCTGACCAAGACAGCTGGAGACCGCAGGTTAAAAACCACAGTGGTAAACAAAGTGCTGTAATTGTACGCTGTGGATACAAGCATAAACTAACTTACAAGCTTCATTTGAGCAAGAAATCACTGGAGGCTTGGCCTTACAATGTGTTTTTGACAGCAGAATCCAACCACACAAAAAAAAAAAACCCAGTTACTATGAGCATGTACAGAATACTTCTTAGCACTGAGGAACCACAGCCAGAAGGAGCACCTTTGAGCAAAGCTTTAAAGCCTTAGGTTTCCAGGAAGGATTAAGCCTTGGGAGGAGATGTAAGAAGAGCGTGTTCTTTGCATGTTGATGGCCCTTGATTTAATCACTGATATATTCAACCAGAGCTGCTGTTTGAAAACCTGAAGATCTCCTGCTAGTCAGTGTACAGAAAGGGTGGAATTTGCCCTCCAGATGTTGTTGGACCACAACTATCATCAGCCCCAGCCAGATGTTGTTGAACCACAACTCCCATCAATCCGAGCCAATAGTCAGTAGTTAGACATACTGGGCATTACAGTCCAACCTCTAGTAGAGAGTCACACATTACTCTGCCCAAGCAGAAAGAGACAGCATCAAGACAGAAGAACAATGATATGAGGTCCCAACATCCAATATTGATAACCCCTTCTACAAATTAACCGCTGAAATAATCCAAGCTTTTCTACAATCACCCACATTTTTCATGCCTCTCACTAAGAACACTTCAGAGAAACCTTGATTTACTCCATACCAAGTAGAGACTCACATATCTACCCTAAGCCTTGGAAAGAGGCAGCATGGTGTAAATCAGTGCTACTCAAAGGGATGGTTCCTGGACCAGTAGGATCCTTGAGCCATCAGGTGCCAGTCTCTGATGCTTCCAATGGGCAAAAAAAAAAATAAAAAAATGGTGCCAGTCACTGGCACATTGGGGAGAAGAAGAAAAATTGCCCATCTTCCACACCAGGTAGCCTAAGAGGCACTCTGGTAACCAATGATCATAGCAACAGCAACAACTGTCGCGTCCAAATGAAAAATAGGTCATTTCCTCCCCACCCAAAAATTGGTCCCAAATTTTAGCACCTATCCCTTGGGGTATACTTTTCATGCTGAAATGCTGTCCCATCTCCACAGATGTCCTATGATACATGGCATGACTGATCCCCACAGCAAGATTTCTGCAATCCTCAGAACCATTTGGACCCATTTGTTGCTTGATTTACACAGGGATGGGGAGAAAGAGGTGACCCATCACTCACCATTTGTGCTGACTCTCTGACAGCTACACTTTTTAGAAGGCTATGAGTGTTGTAGGGGTAGCAGCAGGGGGGCAAGATAAAAGGATTGGGGGGCCCAGAATTCTGCCTGCCCAAACAAAAATTTTCTGGCAGTCTCACAATATTGCAGAAAGTGTAGATGTTCACACCCAGAACTTTTCCACTTGCTGTGTTCACACTCTCTTGCACATTTTGCCTGCTCCTTTTCTTTGGATGCTTCAACTCTATTTTTGAATGGTCAACTGAGGATTTAAGTTACTGGGATGCTTGAAATTTGGAGATTTGAAGGAAAATTTCATGGGAGGGCAGAATTCTTACTTGGGGAGCAATGCCCTCATTTTACCCCCCTTCCCAGTAACTACATTCCTAGGATGGGTAGCCAAATAGGTTATAAAACTGGTTGAGGCTTGTGGCTTTCGCCTCTCCCTTTTGCCCACCAGAGTGTGAAAAGTGGTCCAACTCCTTCCCCAAATCTTCACTTTAGTTATGGCTCACCAGGGCTTGCCATGCAAAAAAATCACTGGCCTACTTTAATTATCAAAACAATATGTTGCTGTTTATGCATTTAAAAATTGTATTTTGTATATTTATATAACCTAAACAAGCTATACAAAAAGCCCAGGGCTGTGCAGAGTTGATCCTGGTGAAGCAATTATTAAGAAGAGAGCATCTCTTAAACATAGGTCCAAAACACACTGAGAAATGATCCAGTTTGAGGCCACTTTAACTGCCCTGGCCCAATGCTAGGGAATCCTGGAAACTAGTTTTTTGAGATATTGAGCCTTCTCTGTCAGAGAGCTCTGGTGCCACAATAAGCTACAATTCCCAGGATTCCCTTGCACTGAGCCAGGGCAATTCAAGCGATCTCAGACTGGATTATTTCTGCAGTGTGTTTTGGACCCTACTGAACGCACTGTTTCAAAACAGCAACTAGAGGCAGTCAAAATTCATGATGTTCACGGTTTACAATCGAGAAGTAACTATTTGCAAGTTTGCGCTTTACCTAAATAACAAATCAAAGTATTATTTTCCATTAACTTAGCCATATGCTCCTCTGTAAAATTAGTACATTATTCATAGTCATAAATTACACAGAATCATAGCCATCCAATTCAACCAATTCAATCCAACTGATCCAATTCATAGCCATCCAATTCAACCAATTCAATCCAATTGATCCAATTCAATCATAGCCATCCAATTCCAATTCAACACCATGTACACGTTCCTGTCTTTAAAGGCCCTACATCCCAAAACACAAGGTTTATTTATGGAGGGGGGAAGTGTTGGCATCTCATTGGGTCTGTATTGTCAAGCTTTCCAACCTGCAAAAAGGGGATATTATTCCTTATGATAAGAGACACTTGTCTGTCAGTGTGGCGTAGTGGTTTGAGCACTAGACTACACCTTTGGAGACCAGGATTCGATTCCCAACTCAGCCATGGAAACCCTTTGTTGTTGTTGTTGTTGTTAACTGCTTTCGCATTGATCTCGACCCATGGCGACCCTATGGATGAGACACCTCCAGACCCCCCCCTGTCCAGCTCCTGCAAACTCTTGTTTGTGGTTAGCTGTAATTCCTGTGAAACTTGTATTACCAATAGTCATTGCAGCTCTGACTAAGTTTAATGTGCCATTTTATACTTTCATATCTATGTTTAATGTATATTTGTAACAATTTGTAACTTATATTCAGACACTTTTGGTTAGAGGATAAATGCAACATATATTGCTGCAATACCTGCGGGTCTTTTATCATTCAGAAACACTGATTCTTAGACTAATTTTTCTTTCATGCCTCTCCATATTACATATTTGTATATTTATGTTCTCTGTATTTTTGTAAATAACTGTAACTCATACTGTAACTCATACTTAGATGTCTTTGATGTTACATTTACTGGTCTATGACTATAATAAATAATATCTATCTATCTTATTTGTGGTCTCTTTATTAAAGTCCATCCATCTAGCATGTGGCCTTCCTCTCTTTCTATTTCCCTCCACCTTTCCTAACATTATTGTCTTTTCCAAGATTCATGTCTTCTCATGATGTACGACATCTAAGTACGACAGTCTAAGAGTCTTGTCATCTTGGCTTCTAGGGATATCTCTGGCTTGATCTCATTCAAGGGTAGCAGAGTTGGCCAGGTAGCAAATTCAAACCCAAATCCATCAGGGATACCTTTCTTATACCTTAAGGTATGACTGATGGATTTGGGTTTGAATCTGGCTTGAGGTATAATAAAGGTATTAGAACTTAAAGGTATCACTGATGGACTTGGGTTTGAAACTGGCTTGAGGTATAATAAAGGTACTGGGTTTGGCCTGAGGTATAATAAAGGTATTATACCTTAAAGGTATGACTGATGGATTTGGGTTTGAATCTGGTTTGAGGTATAATGAAGGTATTGGGTTTGAATCTGGCATAATAAAGGTATTATACCTTAAAAGTATCATTGATAGATTTGGGTTTGAATCTGGCCTGAGGTATAATAAAGGTATTGGGTTTGAATCTGACTTGAGGTATAATAGATGTATTAAAACTTAAAGGTATCACTGATGGACTTGGGTTTGAATCTGGCTTGAGGTATAGCAAAAGGTATTATTCCTTAAAGGTATCACTGATGGACTTGGGTTTGAATCTGGCTTGAGGTATAGCAAAAGGTATTATACCTTAAAGGTATGACTGATGGACTTGGGTTTGAATCTGGCTTGATCTGCTCTCGGACCCACTTGTTCGTCCTTTGGGCTGTCCCTGGGATCCTCAGCCCTCTTCTCCAGCCCCACATTCTTCTCTCCAAGGAGTTGCTCTCCCTCCTCTCTTCCTTCTTGACCGTCCAGCTCTCCCCTCCATCCATCCCTCCATCCCTCCATCTATCCCTGGGGACAGGGAATGCGATGGCTCCTTACCTTTGGCCAAAGCCAGGAGCCAGGCAAAGCAGAGAGGCCCCAGCCAGCGTTGCAAGGAAGGCTTGGCCGCCTCCATGGTGCTGCTTCTCTGGGGCTGGGCTCCCGTCCGACCCGAGGCTTTCCCTCTTCCTCCTCCTCCTCCGTCCGGATGAGCGAGTCCAGGCGAGTGAGTGACTCAGTCCCAGCGCCGCCCGCTTCTTCCTCCTCCTTCTTCTTTTCTGCCAGCCCCGATCGCCTGCTGCGGGCCAATGGCCATCGGAGCCCGGGAAGGAAAAGCCCCAACCAGGGAGGGGAACAGGCCCTGGGCATCCCAAGGCAAAGAGGGAGGGAGGGAGGGAAGGGAGACCTGGCAGCTCAAGGCTTTTTTTTGGATGCCTTCCAGGGGTCTCCGACTCTGGAGGCTGAGAGAGTGTGACTGGCCCAAGGGCACCCAGGGGGTTTCATGCCCTGGTGCACCACTTTATCCTGGGGTTTTCTTGGCCAGGTTGGTTCAGTGAAGGTTTACCATTGCCTTCCCTCTGAGGCTGAGAGAGTGTGACTGGCCCAAAGTCAGCCACTAGGTTTCATGGCTTTATCATGGGGCTTTCTTCACCAGGTTGGTTCAGAGGGGGTTTACTATTGCTTCCCTCTGAGGCTGAGAGAGTGTGGCTGGACCAAGGGCACCCAGGGGGTTTCATGCTCTGGTGCATCCCTTTATCCTGGGGTTTTCTTGGCCAGGTTGGTTCAGTGAAGGTTTACCATTGCCTCCCTCTGAGGCTGAGAGAGTGTGAGTGGCCTAAGGGCACCCAGTGGGTTTCATGCCCAGGTGCATCACTTTATCATGGGGGTTTCTTGGCCTGGTTGGTTCAGAGGGGGGTTACTATTGCCTCCCCCTGAGGCTGAGAGAGTGTGACTGGCCCAAGATCAGCCAGTGGGGTTTCATGGATTTATCATGGGGCTTTCTTGGAAAGTTGGTTCAAACAGGGGCTGAGAGCATGTGAATTGCCCAAGGACACACAATAGATTTCCAGGGTTGAGCAGAGACTCAAAGCCTGGTCTCCAGAGTCAAAGTTCAGCACTCAAACCACTACTCCACCCTGGCTCTGGGTACATCTATGGTGAAAAAATAATGCAGCTCCTGGGAGTCCTGCATCCCTATCCCAAGAAAATGTGGAGTGATCACATATGCCAAATGCATCTGAGGAAGTAGACTCAAGTCTCTGAAACCTCATGCTACCAACTTCTACCTTTCGATTAGTCTCAAAGGTGCTGCAAGATCCCTTTACTTACTAACTAAATACATAGATACCCATCCCAAGAGTCTTTGCAAGATGCAGCAACAAATCAGGAAGTGGTGGAGTCTCCTTCTTTTGAGGTTTTTAAACAGAGGCATTAAAAAAAAAACAGAGTTTGGATGGCCATCTGTTGGGGGTGCCTTGGTTGTGAGTTCCTGCATGGCAGGGGGTTGGACTGGATGGCCCTTGTGGTCTCTTCCAGCTCTATGATTCTATGAATTAGGTTTGTAAATCGTTGAAAACTCCTGCCCTACTAGCTGAGATGGAGATTTGCACACAATCTTTATCTCTTGGCTGGAGATGAGCTCCCCCCTCCAAAAATTGGAGAATTTGCAAATGCATCTATCTCCATGCTGGAGGTGGAGCGCGAAAACTGGAGGCTCAGGGCCACACCCTGAGATGTTGGAACCCTGTCTGCAGGAAAACCAAAAAACTCCCTTCCACTTTTGCCCTTACACAAAGTGGGGCCAAGAGAAGAGGAGCCAATGGCTTGAGGAAAAATACAAGTTGCATTCCCCGCTTCCCTGGTTTTGTTTGCAGAAGCTAACTCACCTGGCAGTTGAAAACTTCTTCAACATTGACCATGGGGTAGCATCCCATTCCATTCTATCATGCTTAATAGTGACAGATGAAATCAGAAGGTGGAAGTCAAGCTGGCTGGCCCACTCTCCTCCAAAATAGTAAGGGCTCAGGGGTTGGCATCACTAGGGGCATGCAAGGAGTATGGAAAGCAACAGGGGACACCCTAAGAGTGCTGGTGAGGGTGACACCATTGCTTCCCAAATATCTGCCTTTTGGCATAAATGAGCGGAGACGTTCACCCGTATCCCTTTAAAACCCAGGAGCACTTTTATGTTTACATACTTCTCTTTTCAATTCGCTGTTTTGACAAAGGAGGAATAGGCTTGGTAGATTTTAAGTCAGATAAGTTGAATAAGTACGTATAGATATTGCATTGTATGTAATGTATATGAAATAAGATCTATGATTGCAATCTGAAGCATGTATCGAATTATGTAATGGAGAAAAATGAATGGGGAATGTAAGTGAGAATTTTAATTAATAAAATCTTTTAATTAAAAAAAACAGGAGCAAAACAAAGAAGGCATGCTCAATGGGCAGAGAAAGGAGAGGCTTCAGGTGTGGGTTGGTTTTTTAAAAATTACACCCGGTACATCCACTATCTCTGCAGATCGTTCACTTCTGAGGTCAGAATGAAGTGCCCAGAAAATACATGGCTGGGCACTTCATTCTGACCTCAGAGCAAACAGCAGCGGATATGCCAAGGCGGCACAGTGGGATACCCATGCGGAGAGCTGACGCAGTGCAGAAATGGAAGGCTCTAGACCTAGAAATGGAATGCTAGACCTTCCCAGACGATCTGAAGTAACAGATAATTTTTTAAAAATAATTTTACCAGTATTACACCCTGGTTCTGGTGCAGAATGTGCTGGATGTCATCCAGACTGCTGGCATCAGAACCGGGGTTTGGGCCATGCATTGTCTGAACAGGATGGGAATGGGCCTTTTGGCCCATGCAGACAGGACCCTTGTTGATATTGCTTGCAGCAGCAAAGACTGGCTTTTGTGTAAAAGTATTTGGCTCACAGTTCTTCCATACCAAGTATATGTCTTTTGCACCAGTCTCTAGTGCAGTGATTCCCAAAGTAGGTGCTACACATGGAAAGATCCAGCAAAAAGAAGGATGTGAGAACAAAAGAGGTGGCAGGGGAACTTCAGACAAAATATTGGCATGCAAGAAAAACAAGAGGAACCAGCAGCCTTTAGGACTATGGTGCAGATGAGGAGTTAAAGCATGGGGCAGTAGGAGGAGAAGCGGCAGCAAAAAGGAGCCTTCACGTTTGGGACCCTGCTTAAGTTAGTAGTAGACCTAATATGAACAGTAGACCTAACATGAAAAAGTGGGCATGGGGGGGCACTAGGATTGTCACCCAAGAGGAAAGGTTTGGGGACCACTGCTCTAGTGGATCTGAAGAGTTCTACAAAAAGCAAAACCTAAATACATTCTATTAGCCTCAAGTCTTTCTATCCCATGCAGAAACACCTTTTGTTAATTTAATGGAAACTAACTATAAGTTCAAATTAACCTTTTCTGAATGCACGAACAAAGTGTGCAGCTTCTTCCTTCCTTTCTTTCTTCCTTTCTTTCGTACACTAGAAACACTGCTTTAAGAAAAGTGAGTCATGGGTATGGAAATTCCCTTGAGAAGGATATCATAACAAAAGTCATTGAA